AACTTTGCGATACACTTAATTTCAACAGTCGCGCTATAACAAACGTCTCACGTGCTCGACTTCAACAATACTCAGTTCAATTACTCATTGTTCTGTCACCTTGTGACCATCTTATATATATACACCAGACTACCCCCAATCTAGTAGTCTCCCGACAATTCACGAAGGAACAGGATATTTCTAGAAGGAGGTGGCGTGATACTAGTCACGTGACCTCGCTGACGCAACAATACTTACAGCATTAATACCAGACAGTTGCTGTGACAACATGACTACGATGGATATTAATAGAGGAGTACGAAGCCAAGGATTAGTCCACATCTCGTGCAGGGTGACCTGAAAAAGAACATTAAAGAATTTTCTTTTTTTATATATAAACTTAGTTTAATAACATTGCTTGGAAGACAATTCTAACTTAAGTGTGTCACTACCACCCTCGTGGATCAGTGTTAAATACAACTTATGGTCCAATACACAGTGAACAATAATTTTTTTTAATAATTTCATTTTAGAAGACTGTGTATTGAAGTTTCAGTTCATTTACAAGAGAAGTTTGTATGACCAATTTAGGTCGTTGTTTTGGATAGTGACTGTAGGACTGCAACATACAGAAGCTGACACTCGAAACAATCATTTAAAAATGTACATTTGTTTTTCTTTGGCTATTAAACCTAATTAACAAACAGTTTAAATTTAGGTATACTAAAATGAATTTTACAAGAGAACCAAAACTTACACCAACAGCAGTCCAGAAGATTCATTTAACACAAGATTAAGTCTTTACTCAATATCTCCCTCCCCACCTCCCATATGTTATGCATACGTTTTTGGTCCTTACCTTTGGGATTAATTTCATCGCTTCGTATTCAGTTTTCATTTCTTCCATTTCATCGTGAACTTCGGGAGTTCCCCGAAGCCAAGTCAGAGCTACCAACAAAATGTAATGTTAGGCATTCCTACAGCAACACATTAACAATGTGATCATAAAGAACCATTGTCGGAAGTCACGAATATTCACAGGGATAAACTAGCTCAAAATAAAAAATACTGAAGCTAAGATTTGCAGAGAAGAGTGTAGGATTGAAACTGTTTACACTCCAGAAAACAGTAATTCTACTCACAACCAACATTTCAATTTACGTTTCATTTGTAATTGTTATACACATGTTATTTTTCGTTTATCAAATTGTATTTGTATGCAATATTGTAATCCTTCAGAAAGCTGTAAACCAAAATGTCAGATTTTAAACAAATTTCCTGGAGTGAGATTAGTTTGTTTACTTTTTTTTTTTTTGTGGTAGCTCAAATAGTTCAGATCAATAAATTTAACAGTGTATCAGCTGTGGATTAAACTACAATAAAGTCACAAAAAATTCAAGGTACCAAATATTAGCAATATTTCAAATACATTAAATTCATCACTGATACAAATTACGCGTCCTGAGAACAAACAAAAAAGTGAACTTAGTTGACTCGATGTCAAGAAATTAATGGCACTGATAATATTTTTGGAACATCTTCAGTAATCCAGTTTTCATTTACTTAAAACTAAACGATGACAATAGTACATGCTACACTTAATAACTCCAATTTTAAGTAACCTTAGAACTTTAAAAAATAAAGTAAAGATTTCCAATTATTTCTACGGTAGTGGAACACTAAGAACAAACAATAATCAATTTTGAGGATAATTAATACAAGTCACACCCTTAGTGATAATTACATGAAAAAAATGCTGGTTTCCAAAATCTGAGATTAGTGTATATCTGTTGATAAAAATATCTGGGATATTAAAGAGAAGATGGTGTTCGTTATTTAATAGGACAAATGGAGTGACCATTGACCATGATTTAGGAATAACATGCATTATAGAGTATTTACATATGTAGAGTACATTTTATGTAGGTTTTCTTGCTCATTTGTCATTTCTGAAATATACCCAACTTACCCTTCTAGCCAGATAAATCTCTTTACATACAGATAGTCCTAGCAGATTTGGTACTAATATATAGGAAACACCCCTGAAATTTAAAACTAAAGCTGTCAATACTTCACCCTACTATTTTTAGCCATTTTTGGACTCAGGAGATCAAACTCTTTTGAATGATGTATTTGACCAACCAAGGTCCCAGATTAATTGACCCTCATCCTGCCTAAAAGAATTAACTTGAGGGTAGGCTGGTAATAAAATTGAATCATTACACACATTTTATACATACAAACACACATGCCTTGGTATTGCTGGCACAAAGATTTGGCTAATAAAGAGGGGATAAAAAAAAGAATAGATTTACTCTAATCTTACCTACAGGAATTAAGTGCCACAGCTATTGAGGATTCCCTCTTGTTGTATCTTAATATACCTGTTCCCACAACAGTGCTTGTATGGGGTTATCTTCCAAATCTACTTAATTAGAAGTCTAAGATTCTGGGATAGAATCCTACTGTACCTTTTTGTGCAGCCACATCTTTTCCCTGATAGATCAGGATATATCTAGGGGATTCTGGGCACAGGGGCATTGTTGCCATCATAAAAAGTGCAGGAACAATAATCATTCCTAAAGAACAAATTATCAGAGAGTAATTAAATTAATCCGTTCTGGAAAAATACTAAAAACATCACACAAGAGTGTTATTCAAGTCTTAAAATATGCATTATAGTTTACACAGTTATTTTTAATAACGTTGCATATAATCATTTTAGACATTCCTTAAATTTATTGATCAAAATTCCTAAAAAAAAAATATTCCTTTTCAGGCATTTCTGCTGAATTTTAATGTAATACATCATAAATTTGGATTTATTAATTTCATAACTGTTAACTTTTAAATTGAACAGAATGTATTAATTAGTCCAATAAGCAACTTAACATTAAGTACTAGGTTTACAGCTAACATGGCAAGATTACACATTACTTTCTGGTTCATGAAAATAAGAACTCACCAAACAAGAAGGGCCACAATTCCTCAGTTCCCAAAACTTGAGGGATTCCTAACACCTGGGACACAAGAATTGAAATGGTGATGACAAGCTGGTAAATTGTCCCCACTGCTCCACGAAGGTGAACTGGGGACACTTCAGTCAAATACATAGGTGCTAGTCCAGCATTCAAACCTGTATCAAAGAGAGAAATTAGAACTTTGGAAAATTTACATTTGGAACATCATCTGAAAAGAAATTAGTGAATATGAGAGAGAAGAAGAAGAAAAAAAGTATTAAAAACTGTTTCCAAATAAATAATTTCCCTTTAATTTCAATATTCAAAATTTCAAATTAGTTTTTAATATCTCCTTCAGGGTTACCCACTGGCCTTGCTGAAGTTGTTACATTTATTGCTACACCACTTAACATAGCATATAACCGTTTCCTGATAATAACCAAGACTTAACCAGTTTCAGTAAATAAATAACAAATAAAACATACCAACTTTTCTATAAAAATAATAACAGTTCTTTGAATACGTTAAAATTCATCCCCGAATATAAACATTTTATGTATCAAATGTTATCTGGTACAACTACTTAAATTATAAAAAGTTCAGGCCAGGAATGTTTAAATTACTTAACCATGTATGAAAGAAACGAGTTTAAATTTGAACGAAATTAGGAAGAAAAAAAAAAAAAATCACTCACCACAGTTGATACCGATAATAAATCGTCCCATAATTAACATTTCATATGATCGAGCCATCTTAGAAAAACCCATTAGGCCTGCAGCTATAAAGACAAAGACGTTGTTCGCCAATAGGGCAACCTTCCTTCCTAATTTCTCCGCTACGTAAGCAGTTGACAAAGCTCCCACCATTCCTCCAATGCAGAAGATGGACACCATGATGGAGTAAATAATGGTAACCGTTTGTTTCCCTGGTTCCTCGTCAAATCGTTCCCAATAAGAATTTTTTATGAAGTCCATTACCAACTGTTTGGTGAAAAAAGAGAAAGAAAGAAATACTGGTAAGCATAAAATAGATAGGTTTTTATTAAAATTAATTCAATAACCTCGAACTGTTTATTATCTACCATTAATGACTACTAGGGGCCCGTTTTCCCTTTAGTTTACTAACCTACGTCATGCTGACGTGCCTCGAGTAGTCCACAGTAAATGGTTCCGCGAATCAAAGAATACATTAGGATTGTGACAAAAATATTACTTTTATAATTTTACCTTTGGGAAAAAGAAACTAAATTATAATCATTACACAGTTGGTCAGCTTTATAATATCTAATAATAAATTCGACGCAATGCCATAGTATTATTCACACGCCAACATCAATTTAGGGTACTGTATAGCAGGGCCAGATTAAGGTATGTGAAGGCCCTTTCAAATACAAGAAATAAATATATAAATCGAATATCGCAATATTCATAAATAAAAAAAAATTAATGTCGCGTTTTGGAACACTTTCATTAACCACCCCTAAAAACGTACATCACGTATAATAGTTAAACGAACCACCTGAACGTCACGTTAGTGTAGCCTATATAATTTAGTATACTAATACCTTATAGTGATGGCACATCACGAGACACATTCGGCATGTAATGCTGTTTGAATACAAGAAGGGAACAACGTCTCTGTAGCCACAAAGAATATCAAAATTAATTTATGGAAATATTTTGAACGTTCGTAAGTGTCAACGATGGTTCAGCAAATTTCG